TAAAAAGAAAAAAAAATGGGGCTTAATAATTCTGATTTCAACTGTATTTAAAATGTAAATATATAATGTAAACTAATAAAATAAAATATATAAATATTGAATAATTTGTTAACTACATTAATAGCTACTCACAAAATATTCACTAAAATTTACTTAGGAAATGAAGCTTACAACACTAAAGTTGCTTAAACAAATGTGTTTTATTTTAAAGTGATGCTACTAAAAGTCATAATATTGTTTATTATTGCTATATTTGTCTTAAACCCTGTATATATTTATTGACATGCAGTACATAGATACAATGACAATACTTTTTATTTTGGTGTCTGCATCATGTTTTTTTAATGATCTTATGTTCAAATTCCATTTGCAAGTGTTCACTTTAATGTTTTAAAAATATTTTTGTAGGAAAAATGTAAAAGCAGAAGGTTTGACACAGTGAGTATAAATAAGTATTGTAGTAAGATACAAGAATTTAATTTTGCCGGTTTCTTCTGATGAATCACGGTAAAAATGTAAAGTAAAAAAAACATGTAAACATGATGCATTCTAAATTAACTGTACGAAAAAACAAAGCTGATAAAAATGTAAGTATAGGGCCAAATAATAAGTGAATTAGAATGAATTAAAAAATCTATAAAACCAGCAGAATTATTGCAAATATAGTCAGATTTTCTCCACGACCCACTCTTTTAAAGCTAAATATAAAATCAAAGGGATCCAAATCAAAAGATATAATCAAAGTCAAAAATTTCTTACTGAATTAAACTTATATAACAAAGGCCATGCATGTTGAAAAATATAAACATAATTGTAAAAAATATATATAAGAGACAAATAAATAATCACAACAAAACTAACTACATGATATGCAAATGAAAACTAATAAAAAAAGGTTAAAGGGGCCAACAGATCATACACGTTGACATGAGGACTTATATAAAACAACCCACGAGTGCCCTACACTGTTTAACACACAACACTCTTATGTATGTTCACTTAATTAACAACACAACATAGAGAAAGCCAATCAGAAATGGCCACAGGCTGCTCCAATGAGATCTTTCCATCAGCTTCATCACACAGCTTTTCAGACTTCTTTAATATATGTAAACATTCTGCAAACTGCAATACATTTATAGTTCTGCATGTTCAGTGCCATGGTAATATCAACAGGAAATCAGTGTTTTGAGTATTTTTACTCCTGCATTCTTATGATTTCTTCCTTTAGAAACCAACCAATGAGAACCGCAGATTCTTCAATATAATCAGCGAGCATCCGATTTCATCTCCTAATTTACTGTAGCGAATTTCACAACAGAAAGTCAACCCAAAGGAATTTCTTTTATCCTTGTGCCTTACAATTCAGGACTCAGAAGAAGGCAAGCATATCTGACTTTAAATGAATAATTTACAGTACAGCGACGCATTTTGCAATCAGCAGTCATTGCCAATCCCACAAGCCAATAACTGCTGCCATTCAGGGATGATGGATGCTGAGGACTGTTTGTGTGTGTGTGTGTGTGTGTGTGTGTGTGTGTGTGTGTGTGTGTGTGTGTGTGTGTGTGTGTGTGTGTGTGTGTGTGTGTGTGTGTGAGCCGAGTATTCCTGACATTGTGGGGACCAGGTATGGTCACAAGTATAGGAATACCAGGATATTTTGACATTGTAATGACATTTAGTTTGGTCCCTACAAGGAAAACGCAACATAAATGACACAGAATGAAAACATTGTCAAAAACAGATTTTCATAATGCTTTAGACACACTAAAGAATGTAAAGTAGATGCACTGCCATATTTTGTGTGTGTGTGTGTGTGTGTGTGCTTGGTATTTATGGCTGTGATACTTCACAAAATATTCCAACTAAAATAAAATGCTCTAGATGTTTTCCCTCGTTGTGCTAATATGATTATCCTCAGTTTACTGCAGGCAGATCTTCATTACCTGATCATCTCGCTCAATCTACTTTATGTGAGGTGTGATTTTGAGACTTTCCAGGTTTCTGCGTTAATGGTAATCGACTGAGCAATCCTTTTCCTTGTAAAAGTGATTGAAATTCACAAGAATAAGTACATGCATCATTAATCTGTAATGAATTGCTGATGGCCTTTTTTATGTAAATTCATTTTTCAATGAACGTACTGTATTCGACAAAATATCACCTGTAAAAATCACTGGCATTTGTGGCTGTTTATATTCTGAGTTTATAGTCTGTGCACCAAAGACACTCCGCATATAAACATGACAGTGACACACCAAAAATAAGGCCAGAATAAAGCCAGAATTGTTCTGTTTGCATATGTGCTATTGGCTTTAAAATGAGTCTGTGGTTAGAAGTAGGTCACCTTCAAACCGTAATAACTAATACAACAGCCCGACAAACAATTTTAGGTTATAAATACATTCTCTTAATGTTCCCATTCAATCTGATGTTAAATCAATGGTATCAGAAAGTTATTTAAAGTTATTAATAGAACATTCTATCCACATTTTATAACGCTCTAAGGATGCTAATTTCATAAACGTTAAAAGAATGTAACAAAACATTACATGCTAACATTTACACAGACTTTTAAGGAGCGTTATTGAATGTTTTTAGAATGTTTCCTGTTAACTTGAAGGATTCAGGTAACATTTTCTTTATTGAAAATAAAATCAACACATAAAAATTAAAATTACATTTCCGGGTACTTTGGTTCCCCCACAGTCCAAAGACCCATGCTATAAGAATTGGATTAACTAAATTTGACTTTGAGTGCATGTGTAAATAAGAGTGTGTATGTGTGTTTCCCAGTACTGGGTTGCTGCTGGAACGGCATTCGCTGTGTAAAACATATGCCTTAATGTTGGTGGTTCATTCCGCTGTGGCAACCCCTGATAAATATGGGAAAAAAAACAGAAGGAAATGAATGAATAATTTATGCATTCAAAGTTTACAGTCTCTCGTTTGCACCGATATAATTCACAAAAAAGTACACAAAATATTATATCATTGTCAAAATAAAATAATTAAAAAATTGTTTGATTGAATGATTCAATGACTCACAAAATTTTTAAATAAATATTTGAAATGTTTCTTTACTAAGTGAATCAGCATTTTGAAACAATTGGCAAATAGGTTTTAAACAGTTATAGTACAGTCGCCACCTACTGGTGTAATGTTATAGTTGGCAATAAAGCTGAAGGTCTTTGCCGCAACTCGACAGAACCCGATGGGATCCGACAGATTCCGATGGGTTCGGGCTTAATTTCTATCATTTTAGACGGGTCGGGCATTAGACGGGTATTCAGAGTGCTGAGATGTTAAGGTCTTACAGAGTACTTATTTTAGGTCTTTGTTCCAACTTCCAAGTGGCCTATAGCAAGGGCCAGATGGAATCTGGGGACGTTTTTTGCTATTTCTGCGGAGAATTTTGGTAAAAATCTGCGGATTTCTGTGGAATTATTTTGGGAGTATCTAGCGGAGTATCATAATTAAACCCTTAATATATTAAATAAAAAGTAATAAATTACTGAATAAAAACTGTATAAATTCAGATTTACACATTTACTCAAGTTAAAAAACAGAATTAATGATGGGCTATAAATCTGCGGAAAATCTGCGGAAATTCTGCGGAATTCTGCGTGCGCAGATTCCGTGTGGGCCTACCAAAAGCCTACGCTTGTTATGAATAAATTATGTTAAAACACATATAAACGAATCATTCATGAAAAAAAGGCAAAAGAGCTGTGTGCAGGTGCACATTTAAGTAATGTTGGGCTATAAACAAACTCGGGCTCTGGCCAAATTCTGTCTGGCCCGATAGGGCCCAACTTTTATGGCTCAATCACAGCTCTAGTTGGCAAGCTTCACTTGAAGAGTCCTGTTATGGTACCTTCTAAAACACATCATGGTTTACATCCAAACTATAATCCTAGTACGTCTATGATATCATGATTATGATTGTTGTAATAAGACATACATAATCATACACTGTCAAATGGATCTAATACATTACATCAAAATAAAATAATTTAAAAGCTGTCTGATTGAATGATTACGTGAGTTACTTGTAAAGATTTGAAATGTTTCATTACTAAATGAATCAGCATTTAAAAGGAAATGGCAAACAGGTTTTAAACACTTACAGTTAACCGTCCTGTTATGGTACCTTCAAAAATGATTTATTTTATTTTGATCGCTATCGTATATATCATGGTTTACATCCAAACTATAAACTCAGTACTCTTTGTTCATGATAACATGACTATGTTTGTTATTAAGACATACATACTCGTACATTGTCAAAACGATCTAATGCTAAATGCAAATGCAAGAACATACCTGTAACAGTTTAGGGTCTTCGTTGTGTTGCTACATGTCTGGTGTGTCAGTGTTATGTTGTGTCATGTGATGTTATGTTGTGGCGTGTTCTATGTGCTTGTATTTGCATCATTTGACTCCTTTGTTCTGTTTTCCCGCTGTGTGTTAATGTTGATTAGACCTGTTGTCTCACCCCTGTTTGTAATCTGCTCAATCTTGTCCTGTGTATTTTAGTTCAGTTCTTTGTCTAGTTCTGAATTGTCAATATATCCATGTCCGACCTGAGTTAAATGTTTCCTCTGTTTCTGTTGTAAGTGCATTTTTGTAAATAAATAAGTGTTTTTTTGATAAACTCAGAGCCTCGAACGTCTGTGTTGCAACAGCTGTGACAGAACCATTGTGATTCCACTCGTCAAAGTTTTTATAAACATTTCTGTTTCAACAATCAATCTATCCTTGATTATTTTATATTGACACATGCAAACAAAACAAAGTTGTTATCATTGCTATTATTCGCTATTATTACTGCTAATTCTAAAATATATAAATTGTATTAAGCCTCTTGCGCAAATGCCTTTTTGAATGTTATTGAAGTCTTTTGGTCTATTCCCTCCATTTCTCTCTATCATTTGCTGTGCTATAAATAATAGGGAAAGTGATCTCATATTGGTTTCTCTTCTTTTTTTTTCTGCCAGTGTGTGGCTGTGATTTGGCACATTCCGGATTCTTTCAGAAGAGTGGCGAGTACATCTGCACATCAGACTACCAGCGTCTGTACGGCACAAAGTGTGACAGCTGTGGGGACTTTATCTCAGGGGAGGTGGTCTCTGCCCTGGGCCGCACATATCATCCGCAGTGTTTCGTCTGCAGCGTCTGCAGGTGAGCCCTTACAGTCACTGTTAAAATGTCATTATGAAAATAGACCCATCAGACAGATTAAACGTGAGCAAGTGCTGGTGGGATGCTGGAAAATTATGTTCATTTACTAATGTGTCGGCGACTGAAGCTCATTAATTCACCCGCTGACAGTTATATGCTCCCCCACTCATCTATATACAAAGCAATTAATACTACAGTTAGTTCCGGTCTTCTAATTTGATCAGTCAAGCAATGTTCCAAGAGTGCTGATATTTATAGAATTATCTTTGAGAGAAAGTCAATGTCTGGGTGTGATGGATCTGGGTGTTTAGGGAATCATTTCAACTCAATAGAATTTTAAAGACATTTTATTATTATATTATATTATATTATATTATATTATATTATATTATATTATATTATATTATATTATATTATATTATATTATATTATATTATATTATATTATTTTATTTTATATTATAATATAAAATATTATATAATATATAATATTATATAAAATATTTTATAATATATATAGGAAGTTTACAATATTATATATGTGCATATATATTACATTAGTCAGTACTGAAACCAAATCTGAAAACTGAACTGAAACTAAATTCAAGAGAAAGAAAAAAAAAATGTAAAATTTTGTTGAAATTGTATTTTTTTTCCAATAGTTAGCATAAATATAAATGTATTATTTTTCTATTTCTAAAGATGTTTCTTGACTAAAATATTGTTTTAATAAATATATCCATTTAATAAATCTGATTTGTTCAAATTCGCCAAAATATATTACCTATATTCTCTGAGAAATGGATACAAATATTCATTTTCAACATTTAGTGTACTCATTTATGTTGAGCACTGTATATTTTTTAACTAATAATTATTTAAATGAACTTGCCATATTATCAAATCTCATATTAACACTCAAATCTAATTAGCTGTGAGCCATATTCTAGTTATAATATCACCATTTTAGCCTCTTCTGTATATCACTGCCCACAGCAAGTGCCAATTGGAAGCCCGATGGAGCGATTGTTTACAGGTTTGGAGTCCCTTGAAGGAGCTCCGTATGGAAAGTTTTGTTTTGTGTTTACCTCATGGTTAAAGTTGTTGCACGTCCAATGGTTCCTGCCTCAAAATGAGCGATTTTGAGTCCCTTGTACATTAAGGAAACGTTCAGAAAAAACTAAACATCAGCGAAGAAACTATTAGCAGCTAGCGTTTCGAAATTGCTATTGCAGAACAACAGAAACAGTGTGCAGAAGTATAAATGCACAGCTACGCGGGTTGCATGCGCCATGGGTCACGCTGATCACTTGACGCTGAAGTATAAACCAGGCTTTACTCATTTAGCTGCTTGTGCGTTCAATTTGGGCACTCAAGTGACCGAGATGTAAGCGAGAGAATACGGCCATTTTTTTAAATAAAAGATTTTTCAAATTAAAAGATCATTCTGAAATAAGTTGGAAATAATTGATGATTACTTGTGTGGCCTGGTACCAACTGGTCCAGGGCCCGGTGGTTGAGGACAGCTGCTTTAAAGTATATATATTTTTAAGTTATAAAGCATTGTAATTAATGACATAAATAAAAGGACATCACTTAACTTAATTCACTGCTGATAAAACACATTTCCACTTCACTATGATAATATGCTTTCTTAACTTGTGTTCACGCCTCTGTTATTTTATTGGTAACACTGTAGAACCATTAGTCCATTAGTTAACATTGTATAACATTGTAATGTATTTACTAACATTAACCAAGTATGGATAATCCTATAAGGCATTTAATGATTATAGTTTAACATTTCCTAATGCATTATTAAAATCTAGAGTTGTGCTTGTTCACATTAGTTAACACACTTTGAGTTAACAACTAACATGAACTAATGTTATACTGTAACTGAAATAACGTTAAATATGTTTAATAAATACCATAATATATGTATTAATAATTGTTCATGTTAGTAAATATGTTAACTAACAATAACTAATGGACTGTTATTTTAAAATGTTACCTTTTTGTGTGTGGGTGTGTGTGTTTAATGTGTTATTCAGAGAATAACATAAAGTTTGCAGAGCATATTTAAATTAAATGTATTTTTTAATATTAAAAAATTACCTTAAGTTATATTAAAAATATTTTAAAAAAATTAAAAATAATATATATTTAATATATATATATATATATATATATATATATATATATATATATATATATATATATATATATATATATATATAATTTAATATTTAAATAATATATATATATATATACATTTTTTTATAATATAATATAAAAAATATTAAAAATTACCTTTAGTAATCTTGGGTCGCCACAGCAGATTGAATTGCCAACTTATCCAGCAAATGTTTTACACAGCGGATGCCCTTCCAGCTGCAACCAATCACTGGGAAACACTCATACACGCTCATTTACACACATACATTACGTACAATTTAGCCTACCCAATTGACCTATAGCGCATGTATTTGGACTTGTGGGGGAAACCCACGAGTACACATTGAGAACATGCAAATTCCACACAGAAATGCCAACTGACTCAGCCGCGGCTCGAACCAGCGACCTTCTTACTGTGAGGCAAGAGCGCTACCCACTGCACCACCATGCTGATGCATATTTAAATGTTTATCTAAAAGTTGTATTTGGGCAACGTTGGGATGTTCATCAACAGTAAAGACCTGCTCAAGTGTTTCAAAGAACAAAAAAGTTTGGCATAAACACCAGGGCCTAAAAACTTGTTCAGGGTCACATTTTTGGACGTAAACACAATTACCATCACACTGTCAACTGAGCAATGTGAAGCATGGCATGAAAACCTCCTCCACTTCTAAGACCACACACAAAGACCTCTTTGAAATGGAGAGTGAAAGATGACAGGCAAAGTGGGCAGAAAACAGAAGCACTTGTCAGACACATGGGTTGAATAATTCCTTTAGTCTTTCCAGTGTTTCAGGACAGCTGGAGCCAATGACAGCAGCATCTCTGAATCTAATCTTACTGTCGTTGTGTATTTTTTAAAATTCCTCCTCGTTCACACAACCTACTTCATTCTATATTCGTGTGTGAAAAATGTGTGGGTTCCTCATGAGGCTCTGTGCAAGCCTTTTCGTGCCATCTTCATGTGACCTTGGCATTACCGCCACATCACACTCCCTCCAGACACACGCACAGCATTGTCAGCTTTTCCTGCTCTTTAAAAATTTACACTTCTTGCTTTTATTCTGCAAGAACTCTTTTAGGAGATTGCAAGTAGTCCTATATTTAAAGAAATGTCTTTAAATACAGCTAAAAACATTTAAAGTGCACCTATTTTACCCTTTTTTTCAAGATTTAAGATTAATATTATAATTTAAGATTTTGATGTCTACAGAATGGGTCTTTAAAGTTTCCACTCAAAACACCCATCAGATTATTTATTATACCTTTCAGAATGTTGGAATTTTCTGCTCTGAACACAATATAGCTGTTTTTGTTGCCTGTGCTTTTAATATTATATCTCCCTGCCCACCGTTACCATGTGCCTGTCAGAGTGTGCCTCAATCTTCGCATCGGCTGCGTCAGATAAACAGCACAATGACAGACATGATGGAAGCAGATCTCACATAACGTTTGTGAGAAACATTTTTTTAAAAGCGTTTTAAACTTGTAAAACTCATTCTCGATCACATTTGATGATGATTGATGATCATAGAGGGCTGACTTAATCCCAGTTGCTTTGCGCACATCCTGTCTTGTTGATATGATTATACGCTTTACTACGGAGACTATAAAGGCCTGATCTGATTTGAAGACATATTAATATACGACTGTCAATCAATTCGGGCGATGAATTTGGTAATTAGGCAAGTCATTGTATAGTGATGGTTTGTTCTGTATACAATCTAAAAATAGTGCTTAAGGGGGCTAATAACATTGACCTTAAAATGGTTTTCAAAAAATGTAAACTTAAAAAAAAAATTATAGTAAATGTTGTGAAAATTCTTTGCTCTGCATATATTTTTTACTTGAAAAGAAGTAAAATATGCAAAATATAATTGCAAAATATAAGTATAAACTAGAAATATGTTCTTGTTAATTTACAGTGTTTTTATATTTTCACCTCTATGCATTTTTACAATGATGTACTGAAGATGCTTGTGGAAATTATAATCAGTGCTACAGTATTTACAGGACAAAAAAATCTTGTCATGGAAATTTATAAAAGATTAGTTTGAAGGTCTATGGCTCATTGTGAAAATGTATCCCCGTATACATTTCTGGAGACTACGAATTATATAGCCAAAGCTACGTATGAGTGCATTTCATCTTTAAAACAAGATGTAGAGAGGAGTCAACCATAAAATATGTCTCAGGAGCTACGTAGTTTGTCGTTTTTGTTTACACAAATACAATGTGTACGCTTTTTCATATGTCAAATTTCTCTCGCAAGTGCCATTCGCACCTGCTGTTCACACGTAAATTCATCAGAGGCCACTGTCGACTGACTCACTAACTTACTGAATGACTGACCGACTGAGCGATCAACTGACCCACCCATCTTCCCTAAACCCAACCAATAGTTTTTTCAAAAGCACCGATTGAACCACCCACCCACTTCTCTTAGCCCAAACGGCAGTGTTTTCAAAAGTAGTTAAGAAAAAGAAAAGCCCTTGCCCAATTTTTACCACGTTTTTAGATTTTACTACATTCTCACCCTGTTATTAACTTGTTTATTTTATTTTTGGCTTCTGTTTTTGTTTTACCCACTTTCTGGAACCGTTTTTTTTGTCGGACTCAAACCCTGTCATCATGGTCAACTCCTCTCTGCATCTCAAGTCCAACAACGCACATGGCAATCTAAGTGGACAAACTGGTAACAGCGTGAAAGCCATCCATATGGATGTAAGCGGTCAGCTGGTAAGCGCGAAATAGAACAGTGTCATACCACCTCATAGCGTTCGTATAAAAGACGACATGCAGTCATTTGTACATCTGGCTACA